CGGCAAGTCGCTTAGTCTAAGGTGCCGGGGATGCCAGTGCGTAGAGCGAGCAGGGACGGGGCTGAATGCCGAGTGAGGCGCCCGACCTGGCCAGTCCTTCGGCGCCGGGCAATTCCCCAGCGCCCCAAGCATCGCTCTCTTCAGCTGTCTTCCCGCTCTGCCACCCGGAGGAGTTAATCAAACATCGCGGCGTCTTTGGAAAACAAGGTTTGCACGTGGGTGTTCAGAGCGATCCATTGTTGCTCGAAGCTATTTACAACAGCACAGAGAGCCTTGGGAGGCGTCCATCTCCACGCCCCTTGGCAGGCTCGGCGGCACCAGCTGGGCCACTCCGCTGTGCTGCTCTGGGTCCTCAGACCCTGAGAACTTGGGGGCCTCGGGCCCCATCTAAGACCTGAATGGAGGCCGTAGAAGGGACCTGACCCATTTGTTGTCAGGCAGCCCGCTGAGGGCAGAGCCAGTGTTTGACCTTGGTCTCCGGGCCGCGCCGCCACGTTCTGGCACAGCCCGCTCTGCCTTCCCGGAGGTGGCCCGGCGCGCAGGCTTCCTCCGCTTCAGGTGGAGACAGTGGCGCCATCCGGTTCAGATGCCTTCCCAAGAGCGAGGGGGCACACCCAGCCGTCAGTCACCCTCTTTTCAAGTCCTGTCCTGAAAGGGACACGCATGTTTGCACCCACCTAAGTCCGTCGATGACGCGCCTGCTCCCCACGGCAGGTTCTATGCACCAAGAATGTCCGAGGTTCAGGTCCAGCACACGGCCGGCCGCGTGAGCCTGCTGTGCGGCCCCGGCCCGCAGAGGACTGGGCGACAGGGCCGGGCAGCCCAGCCCTGGGGCGGCTCCAGGACCCAGAGGGAGGTGGACAGAGCCGGGCGCACACCTGGACCCGAGCTCCCCCGCCTGCCAGCTCGCACTCACCACCCCTAAGGCTGCCCGGCCGCTGTCTCGCCCTGCAAGCCCCAGGGGAGCGGGGGCCTGGGTGGCTGAAGGAAAGAAAAGTTGGGTGAGAAAAGATGTGTGACAGGAGCGCTGTCTTCCTGCCCCGCTCGGATCTCGCAGAGGATCCCAGGATAACGCTGCTGCTGCTCCCGAGTCTGGGGAGCCCTGGGTGGCGGCAGGCCGGGCTGCTCTCTCTGCACTCTGCCAAGCTCCGCAGCGCTTTCCCCACTTGCGGTCGCTGGCAGACGCAGAGCCCTGCTCTCTGGAGAGTGGCAGCCGCCCTCCTGGCCCTGGTGGAGCTCGCGTTCCGTGGCGGAACATCCTCTCCTCCTGCCAGCCCTCTGAGCCCTGCAAAACCTCTCGCTGTGTTTCCTGCCGGGAGGTTGGCTCTGCTGTCCAGGGGGCTCTGCTCGGGGCCGGGACCACTCGGCTTCGGGCCCTGCCCGCCTGGCTGATGTTTGCCCACCAGGACGGCTGATGTCAAGAGTTTGAGGGGGGCCCACTTTGAGGCCCTCTAGCCCCTGCTCCGGGTCTCCCTCTCACTGTTCCCCTTGACCGTCCTCTGATTAAAAATCTTTGCGCACACTGGAGTTTGATTACTTTGCTTTTATGCACAAGGAAAACATGGGTTTTCCACTTAACAGCTGGGGTCCCTGGGCACCCCGGTGTCACCGGGCATCAGGAGGAGGCAGGACAGACACCGAGTAGACACGGTACTATACTTTCTCTTAGGGGGCCTCCCTGGGGCTCCCCATGTGAACGGGTGTGTTTCCACGTGAAAAAATGCTATAAAAAATGACACAACTTTTAAAAACAATTTTTAGACAGACTTCAGTGTTGCACGAGGCACAGGCTGCTGGCACGGGGCCCCCAGCCCACGGTGACAGTGCCTGGTCCTCCCGTGTCACGCTGCAGAGGTCAAGCGCCTCCCGGGGGGGGGGGTGTCCAGAGGCTTCACGACACCCCTGTTCTTGAATACTGGAGTGCCCTATTACTCAGATCATATCAAGAATAGGTTTTTAAAGGAAACATGACTTAATCCTCAGCAAAACAGGAGGAAAACATACCGCGGCAGGTAGTGAATCACTCATTAAAAATTAAATAAATCCACCCACCACGGGAAACAGCTGAACAGAAGGTGAGTGCCGGCTCCCCTGGAAGAAAGCCAAACGGTGGGTCTGGGAAACAGAGATGCCTCCGACCCCACCCTGTCCGGCCCCAGCTCCCGCTGCTGACCCTCATGGCCCTGCAGGCTTCGCTGAGGATGCCCGTGACCGGGCGCGGGGTGCGGGGGGCGCGAGGTGCCAGGGCTTCCTGGAGGACGGAGGATGCGCCCTGGCGTGAGTCACTCCTCAGGTGGAATAAACCGTCACAAGGCCCCAGAGCCACTCCCCCGGTGGGGAAGCACCTTCTCTCGATGAACTAATGCTTCTTCTTACGTTTCAACATCAAAGCCACAGACTTCTGGCCTTGCTTCCCAAATACAAGCCACTTCATGGAAAGAAGAAGACTGCTTTTCAAAGCATTTTTTCCCTCAAGTAAAACCCTCCTTCGTAAATCCCCGCTAAATCCCCGCTACTTGTGACGGGAGGGAGGGCAGAGGTGACAAGAGTGACTTTCAGAGACAGGGACCGTGGCTTCCCTTCCAGGGTGAGGTTACAAAACATGCAGAACAGGGCCTCCCTGGTGGTGCAGGGATTAAAGACACAGAGCCAGCAGCCATCAAGCTATCACCAGACGCTGCAGCACGAGTTCAATCCCCAGCCAGGGAGCTACCCACAGGCGCAGCAGATCCCACCTGTCTCCCCGCTGCTCCCCTCAGCAGTGGATTTCGTCAGTCTGCCCTGCTCCCTGCTCTGTCTCTGGTGAGTCCTCCCACCCCCCGCATCTCTGGCCTGCACCCCAGCTCTTGAATACATAAATAAATCAATCTTTAAAAATAAAGAAAAAAACCCGTGCAGAGCAGATGTCGACCCACCCCAGAGGGCAGGGCTGGACAAGACAGACGCGCTGGGTGCATCATGCTATCTGGGGGTGTCTGTCGACCCAAAACCTGCAGGTCACAGAGCCTTATGCCTGGACGAGACCTTCCAAAACGAGGCGGGGAGGGTGGCCCTGGCTCACCCCGCGTTCTAGGACTCCACTCTGCTTCCGCCCGGCGCTGCTCTAGGCTCCCCCTCCAGCACGCACGGGATGGAACATCAGCCTCCCACGCCATGTTTCCCGAAACCGGCCGTGGATCTACCCGCGTGGGACAGACCATGCCGTGCCGAGCCTGGGGCACCCGCGAGACGCTGGTGCTGACGTGGGTGAGTGTGGGCGCGCTCAAAGGAAACCCAGCCAGTGTGTGCAGTGAGATTAGAAAACTGGATCTGGTCAGCAGATAGCAAGCGGAAATGGGCTGGAACCCTGGCCAAGATCAACTCGAGTGATCTAGGTTGTTCCAAAATATGGTCACCTCCCAGCAAACTGTTCGCAGAATGTGAGGGTCAAGCTCCCGTGTCCACATGCCCCATGGCCTGTGCTCTCTGAAACAGCACATTTCACAGCAGAAGCTGCTACTCTTTTTGTTTGGCTCGGCCGCCCCTCACCGAGTGGCCTGCAGGTGCAAGCAGAGCCCTGGCCCGAGTGCCGAGGGCCTGAGTCCCTGCCCGCTGTTGTCTTCCCAAGCCACGTCCCACCATGTCTGGGCCTGTCCTCTCCTCTCAAAGGTGAAGGTCAGGACGCACACCTCCACCTCGCCAGGTGTGTCCGAGGCCCGCGGCAGCGTGAACTGGAGCATGCTTTGAAAACTGTAAAGTGCTCTTCGTGCAAACGTGTTATCGTAAATACGATGCATGTTATCAGCATACACGTTTAATAGGAAATAGGTCAAGTCTTATTTTTATAATTCCATCTACAAGATATCTAAAAACTTAATTTCGCAGCGGTGACATGGTCACCCAGTAACTCAAACAGAGGAGGTCTCCATCCCTGCTCCAGTAGCTCTGCCCCCATATGGCCCCTGGACACAGCCCCGGCCTCACTGACAGATCGGCCTCGGCGAGTCGTTAATATCAGTTAAAAGCCAACAGCACGTTTTCTAAAAGTTGTGAGCAATTAATCAACCCCATCATCAAAGAACACAGATCTAAGTTGTTGTTGTTTTTTTTTTTTTTACCCTATGCCCATTTTTATTCCAAATAAGGAGAAAAGCTGCCACTGGGACACACTTTGCTCGGCAATTCCACAAGGAGTGCCTTCCCCGGCACCTTAAACACTTTATGCCAAACTCTGCATTACAAAAAGCACTTTCCAAAAGTCACTTAGATTTGCAATCGTGAGCCCCGGTCCTGGTCCACCAGGGGAATGGCCCGGCTGGGCCGCAGCCAGGACCCCGCCTGACGGGTCTGGCCATCTCTGCGCCGCACTCGCATCCTGGACAGCTCAGTTCTCACAAGCTCTGTCCTCTCCCCGTGCCCGGGGCCACCCCTGGCACCCCTGGCTGCTGAGCCCGCCTGCGTGTGCCCGACGCCGGCAGAGCAGGAAGCCGGGCTCCTGGTGGGCCCGCTCTGAGGCTGAGCCCGCTCGGGCCGCTCCCCATCTCGGCGCGCCACCTCCAATTAACACGCCACTTCCCAAATCTCGTGGTTCGGGAAATCAGGTGTCTGGTGATAAAAATAGGAAATGTCCCACATTCCGGGCGGAGCCCCCACGTGTCCTGCAGCGAGCCAGCTCACAACAACAGTGGGGGCTGTCTCCCTAACAGGTGAGCCTCACCTCGCATTCCTGGCAGCCTGAGCGGCCCCGGCCCCATGCAGAACACCCCCACCCCCGCGCCCCCGCCCGCAGAGCACCACTTGGCCAAGTCGTGGCAGATTAAAATGGTTTCCTGCATCACAAACCCCAGGTTTCCTGCCCGGGGCTGGACCCAGCTAACCGCAGTGCCTGCCGGCGCTCCCTCTAACGGAGGCTTCCGGTAAGATCCTGGGATCTGAGTTCAGAAAAGCCCAGGAACGGCAGGACGGCGACCACGCCGTGAGCCCAAAGGGACGAGGAGGTCCCCTTCTAAAGCTTCCTTTACCTCCTGGACTGGGGCGGCAGCGGCACCGGGGAGCCATGCTGGCCGGGGAGAAGCCATGTTTCCTGTCGGCTGAGAAAGAATTTCTAGAACTGCCAGCGCGAGCCGGGTCTGCCGAGCGCCAGCGGGCCCGCGGCTTTTGTAGGGAAGCGTGTTCCCATTTCCTGCATGGAAGCGCTGACGCGGCCCCTGACGAAGCACCACCTCCGAGCTCCCCGGGGGGCACTTCTTGGAAGAAGGTCGAGACTTTCCTGGGGGAAGTGGAAACAAATGCGGGGTGAATCCATGTGTCACCCTCAGAGCCAAAGGCTCTGAGTTCAGTCGGCGGGAGAATAACTCGCTGCTGGGAGATGCGCGAGGGTTCGCTGGGAGGGACGCCTGGGCGCCCACGAAAGCCCAAGAACACGCGGCACCCCAGCCATGGGGGACGGGACTGTTTGAGGGGCCCCGGCCTGAGCCCCCCACTTTAAACACCAGCAGATTCCTTTTATTTTTCCTGCCATTGAAACCAACACCAAGGAAGAAGTCTTCGGAGGAGAAAATCACAGGGCCTGACACAGGAGGCCCGGGCCAGAGAAGGAATTTTGGAGTCAGTTTAAAAGTTAACTTCCCTGTCACTTAACAGCAGCCCTTCTGTTTCATTTTCTTTTATTCCTTTGGCATCTCCATGAATCAAAGTGGAGGTGACGGCTGCTGGGCCCCCAGGGCCGCGACAATGCAAGGCCTGGCAGAGCCCGGGGAGAGAGAAGCTACTTCTGAGGCTCCCGCACGCCTGCAAGCCTGAATTCCGCTGCGTTATTCAGACCCCGGGCGCCAGGCCTCCGCCGGGAGGGGCTGGGCTCACTCTGACGGTCAGAAAGGGCTCCCTGCTCCCGCGCCCCCAGCCGAGTTTGAAATACTAAAGAAAGAAAAACACGAGCAAACTGGCTGTGCTGGAAACACCTGGCTTCATGCAGTTTAAAAAGTCAAATGTTAACTGAGGGCTTTGTAATGAAAGACCAGGCACTACTGCGAGAAAAGGGACGCGCTTTTGATAGTCAGCGACACTCCCCCGTTCAGGGCCAATGTCCCGATGATGGTAAAACAGTAATGTAATGAAAGGCGTCCACTGGGTCGCCTGACTTAAGGTCACTGTCATCCTGGGAAGCGGCCGGCAGAGCAGAGACCAGGGGGCTGGCACAGGTGCCAGGTTCCCCAGCAGGTATCGTGGGGCCCCGCCCTGCCGCCGGCCCCCATGTGGATGAGGCCTAGAAGTCCATGCCCTGGGTGCTCATGCTCTGCTGCCCAGCCCAAAGGTGGGCTGTTTTCTTAGCTCTGATGGACTCTGAAGAAAATCTGCAACCCCCCAAACAAGAGCCATTCCTTTCTCCGAGCTGACTTGCTGGAGCTCTGGCATGAGTCTGAAAGCGCAGCAGGCTGAAAGGGTGAACTGGGGTCCTCCTGTGCACCCCGCCAGGAGATCCACATGGGCAGTAGGTAAGACGGGGTTCATGTATAAAACCCCTCCCCTCCTGCAGGGAGGAAGACCCTGAAATCAGGAGCACTTTGAATCTCAAAGCCCCCAGCAGCCCGAAGTAGACAGGACTTCCCTGATGTCCAAAGGGAGGCAGAGGACGGGTCTGGGACGGGGCGGCCCAGAGTCGCTGGGCTCCTGTATGTCGGGACAAACAGGGAGGGAGCCGTCCTGGGTGGGTGCTGGCTCCTGGCTCTGCGGCTGGCTCTGAGATCATGTCCCGGGAGCATGGATCTCCCCGGAGCCTGCAGACCCGCTCTCGACTGGGCAGCAACCGGCCAACCCTGAGCCTGGGCCATCCCAGACCCCATGGGTGGTGAGGCTGGGTGTGGAGGGGAGAGTGATGGGCAGAGAGGCAAGAGACCGGGGTCACCCACTTTCAATGTGTCCTGGATGCGCCTTCTGTTCGGGAAGGAAATGCGTCCATGGGGCCTGAGCCCACGAGTGGGACCCCAGTTCTGACTGGGCAGCCGGTGGAACCTCCCTCCCTGCTGACACAGACACCAGTGCCTCCGAGCAGTGCGGGCTTGCAGACTGCTGTAATGACGTCTGTCCCACTGAGTGACCCTTCTCTTTGATGCCACCGTTGACATTTGCTCGAGCAGAGTGAGCCACTCGGGATGGGCTGCAGCCGATGGAGACACCAGCAGGGACATGGACACATGGGCAGCTCAGCGGTGCCTGGGGCCCTCCTACCCTCCAGCTGACCGTGGCCCGTGCGCCCTCAGACAGGGCAGCAGTCCTGCAGTAGGCATGCATTGGCCACGCCAGGGACAGCTGTGCCCAAAGGAGACAGTGACCCGAAGGGCATACCCCCCGGGAGAGGCCAGCCCGGGCAAAAGAATGGACCTTAAATAACTCAGGACAGAGTCCAGGTGTTTCAAACAAGGTGATGCATTTAGGAAACAGCTTCCTAGTTACCTGCATCCTGGCCACTCACTACAGGTGAGCACACGGACGCACACACGCACAAGCACGCACACACGCACACGCGCTACCTGCCCACACTGCAGCCACTTCAATGTTCTTAGATCTCCTCCCCTGTTTCTTCAGGACACTTTCCGCCATTAGGTTGATAAACAGAACATGCAGGCGGCGGAGCTTCCTTTTTCACCAGGACCTCGATGCCATCAAAGTTGGCTGGGCCTCAAAAGGCACGCGAGTCGGCCCCAAAGACACCATCTTTCACAACAGCGCAGTTTGGAAAAGCCCCTTGTCAGCTGACCAAGTCCAGAAACAGCTCCACGGTCCCCGCTCCCTGCTCGTCACCCCACCCCAGGGAGGCGAGGGGGGTCCTCGGACAGGGGGGCGAGTCCCAGGGAGGGGAGCGTGTGGAGGCCGCGAGCTCCACGTTACATCTGAGGACACTCAACAGCTGGGCCAGGCTCTATGCGGGGGAACAAAATGGTGTGCAATGGCGTAACCAAGAGCGCGCTACCAGCCGCGCGCGCAAGTCGAGGCATAAAATCCGAGCGTAACACGCTGGCCATCTGGCCTCCTGTCTCTGGAAGACAACGCTCCTCTCACAACACAATCCCACGCGCTGTTGTTCAGCTCGCGAAAGACCCGGAATATAGAAAAAGAGCCGTACAGTACTCACCGAGGGAACACGGGGCTAGAGTCTGAAAGAGAAAGAGAAAAAGGTGTCAGTTTTCGGGGAGACGGGTCGCTGGCCACACCCTCCCTGCCGCGTCCGTGTATGTGCCGGGTCCACCTCTCTCCCAAGCACCAGCTTTCACCAGTGTCCCCCCCAAGCGCCCCTGGAGCTCTGGCTGGTGTTGGGGAGCGGCTGCCCAGGACCGGAGGGCTTGGCGCCCGCGCCCCAGGCGGTCCCTCGGCCCTCCTCGCTGTCACTGCCATGTCCCCTCGCCACGACCCTCAGCCCATCTCTCCAGAGACAGGTTTTCCAAACCTGCCTGTGAGGCCGCCTCTCCCCCACTTTCCGGCTTGATTGTTCTCCAGCGTGTTCCTTTCCCATTACTTTAGCCCCGTGCTTCTCTTCAAAGAAAGTTTTATTGAGCTCTCACCCGCGTGCCACGGAGCGCGCATTTACAGGACAAGTCAGTGGGTTAGCACAGTCCAAGGTTTTGCAACATCACCATAGCCTGATTTTAGAACATCTTCATCATCCCTCAAAGAAACGCCACACCCATTCATTTACTAGCTCCTCAGCCGCGTTCTCCACGCGGCCATCCCCTCGCCAGCCCTGCCCCAGCCAGCCACTAACCTACTTTATGTCCACGGATTTGCCTTGCTGGCCCTTCCCCATAAATGGGATCCACAGTGAATGACCAGTTGCCTTGGCGTGTCACCCACATTGCTTCAGTAGCAGGATTTCATTCCTTTTCAGGGCTGAATACTATTCCCTCACACAGACACACTACATTTTGCCTCTTAACTCCCCAGTGGCAGACACGGCTCTTGTTCTTATACAAGTGGCCAGTAAGGGGCCTCACACAGGAGCCCAGGCTGCATCCACCTGCAGCCGGAGACCCAGTCGGCGGTCACCAGAGCTGCTGGTGGTGCAATCGCATTGTGATCACCACCGTTTTTAAATAGCTGATGTGGTACAAGGTTTTCCCACCAAAATAGCCTACTTCTTCTTTTAGCTGTGGCCAGGTGAGCTATTTTAAACCAATGACAATCAAGACTCTGCAGCACATAATTGTAACAAGTTGTTGCTATAATTAAAAAGCTGACCTGTCCGGTAGGTTTGAAGCCAAAGAAGCAGAAGAAGCAGTTCTTGTAATACTCGGGGGTTTCGGTGCAAATCGACAGCTGACATTATTCTTAATGGGGAGGTCCGCATGCCACCCCCCACTGGGAAGAGGACAAGGATGCCCCACTCTCCTACTGAACCTGGTACTGCATGTGTCCTAGAGGGGAATGAGGCAAGAAGACAAATAAAAGGCAGAAATTGGAAGAGAGAGAGTAAGACTTCTTTATACTGAGGGGCCATGACTGTCTGCATAGGAAATTCCGAAGAATCTACAAAGAGGCAGTTGGGGACCCTTTGTTGGGTGACACAGAAAGGGGCAGAGCTCACAGGGCCCAGGGGTGCCCCGGGGTAGAGGGAGCAGGGACTTGAGGGAGCACCCTGGTGGCTCTCCCCTTCCGATCCCCCAAAAGAACTTGGGGAGCTGCTGGAAAGGTGAACGGTGACCCTTTCCTGAGCCAGGAGGGAGGCCCTGAGTGTTTGGAGTCATCGATTTACTTTCCAGAGCCACGTTGCAGTGCTGAGGCCTTCCGTGCAACACGAATCCTGAGGACCCGGGGAAGCAGAGCCGGCGGCTCCAGGGTGACCAGACCAAACCCGCGCGGAGGAACCGGGGAGGCCCGGCGCGCCCTCGTCAGAAGCGTCAAGGAAGGCGTCAGCACGACGGATGGAATTCCAGTCAAGCGCGCCCCGACACTGGCCCCGCACTTGGCACTCGAGTTCCTTCATTATTTATTTTGCAACAAAGCAAGATGCACCGAGCCGTGGGCCCACGAGCAGCTCCCTTGTGGGAGGTCGGGGCTGCACCTGCGAGCCCGAAACCACAGCTATCGTTTCTCTAGGGCGGAATGAGAGCAAAACCCAAGCAGCGTCCTCCAGAGGCCCCCCCCCG